AGTGAAACATATCTGAATTAAAAAACAAACAGGACTCCGTTTTCAAGTCCAAACTATATTTACTTCAACTTTTCCTAAACACACACTTGTGCACCGAATAGCATAAAAACCGTGCCTCCCTAACCAAGGAAGATTATTAATTGAAAAAAACGTTTCACAACAAAGGCACGACCATGCATCTGCTGAGTGTTCTACCGTTTACACGACTACTTTCACAGCCAAAGATGCATCACGCAGGCAACACGCAACGAATAAAAAAAATTCAATGAACAAGACAAGTGAAAATCTTAAAAAAAAACAGATAAAACAAACCCCCATTTCTGAAATTCTATGCCTGGAACCACCGCGTGAGTAGCAACTGCTCTTTGGCAGTTTCCTTTTTTGCACGACAAAACAACCCTTTTACTTTTCCGTATCCATTTCATCCTTCACCACCGCACACCTCTAGCCATGGATGACGGGAAACTAACAACATTCACGGAACACATCACTACCCACGGTACAGCCGTGCTCGAGGTGGTGTACACCAACGACCCAAGGACCATGGAGTGGATCATCAACAAGTACGAAGAATGGCTAAAGGAGGAGAAGAACAAGTTCGCCGGCCTCGACCTCGAGTATACACGTAAGGGCAGTTACATACGACAAGGGATCGCCGTCGTCCAACTTTCCATGCGCGAGCATGTCCTTGTATACCACTACTGCAGATCCGAGCGCTCACAGGTGTTAGTTGACTTCCTGCAATCGAAAGCGGTAACTTTCACTAGCATTGACACCAGGAACGACAAGACCATGCTTGCCCGTGCATGCATCAGAATTCCAGACGAGCACCACGTCGACATCCAGAGGCTATTCTACATCAAGGGTGGTGGATAAAGGGACTCCATGGGTGACCTTGCAGCGGCCATCACCGACCCCTCATACAAGAACATGAAGAACTCATTCCCAAAGGAGAAGCACCAGTTCTGGGAGTGGAAGCCACTTTCCCCGATACACCTTGAGTACGCGGCAAAGGACGGGTATGTTAGCTACGAGTTGTACCGTAGAATCCTAATCATCAAGAAAGGGCTACGTCACCTCCACCAACAACCAATGAAAGAAAGACTCCGCCCACGTAAGAGCAATGACGAGGGATCTTCCAGCGGCTGGAAGCGCCGGAAGGGAAACAGTGGTTGGTAAATTGCGAGAAAATGGATGTCTACATTAAACTAGTAGGAACTACTATTATCATAATTTGGATTGTATGAACCTATGTTGTAAATATGTTTGTTGTTGCTCAAAGATGTTGTGTCTATTGTATTACTATTTTATGTTTGAACTTTGAACACAGTTGTGTGCTCATGTACTAATTTGGATTGTATGAACCTATGTTGTAAATATGTTTGTTGTTGCTCAAAGATACTGTGTGTATTGTATTACTATTTTACGTTTGAACTTTAAACACAGTGGTGTGCTCATGTACAAATGCATACTACGTTTTGCATGTCTAAATGCAATTAGTAAGTTATGTCCCAGTACTGAGCAAGCATATATTGTATCCATGATTATAGAACGAGAGATATCTCGCACGATAATTTTCATACTCAACCTTTATAAGATTCATCGTGCATTTACAAGAATATGTGATGATATCGTTGTAAATTTTCAGTACAATACTTATTAAACATTGGCGTGAACAATTCATAAATATTGCAGAAGATCATTCGGTACACAGTCACAAGTGACGAGAACTTTCTTACCTTAACCACATTGAAAAAAAATCCTTGCCTCCATTTCACATCAAACACCGCTCCGTCCATTCAGAACATCCTTGCTATTGTACACAGGTTCCTCTCCGTACACCAGTTCTGCATGATGCCACAAAACTACACTACTGTGTGCAACTGACCTATGTACTAGCGTGACTCACTAAGTGTCTACTCAATCCATGCCTGTGGTGCCACGCACCCGTGACCCTAGAGACTACACACCTGTGCATCATTAGCCGAGCCCCTCTAACCAGATATTCGAACCGATGCCTCTACTGCCGTACATCCGTGCCTCTAGAATCTTGACAACAGCAAGAGGGTTCAAAACCATGCCTCCACACAACCGTGCTTGTACTGACTGCACTTTCGTGCCTCTGTTTTCTTGATCAACGTGCCTCACTTGAAACCCATAGTAACTCTACGTGCTCCGCATGCGTGATCGCCAATGCAACTTTGGTGTTGCACACACGCGTCTCTCAGTATACCCGTACCTCCACAACCGTACTTGTACTGACTATAATTACATGCCTCCGTTTGCTCAATCCACGTGCCTCACATAAAACCAACAGTAACTCTACGTCCTACACACACACACGTGCCTCTCGCATGAAACCCATAGTATCTCGCCCGTACAACTTTGGCGCTGCACACACGTAGCTCTCAGTATACCCGTGCCTCCTCACGACCGTGCCTGCACTGACTTCAATTTCGTGCCTTCATTTGCTTGATCCACGTGCCTCATATAAAAGAGATGCACAGTCGTGCCTCAGAGTAAACAACACACGTGCCTCTACTGTATTGATAACTATGACCCCAATTAAATAACATCCGTCCAAAAGAACATATTTAAAAGAGATGAACAGCCATACCTCTTCTACAAACATACAACAACAATGAACACTTAGGTTCTTAGGTTCATATTGTTTCATATATCTAGACAACATTAACCCGTAGCATAGATTTTTAAACAAAATCCATTTATGTTCAAAGGCTATAACTAACATCACTGCGGCAGAAGATTGAAGATAACAACAAGCCTCCCATCACGCTCTTTGAAAGTTATCAGCACCAAGTTGTTTACTTCAATAGACGATGCCTGGAGAAAATCACTGAGACCTTCCTGTTTGAACACCATTCTACTACCCAAGCCAATGAAGTAGGAGCAAGGAGTGCTCACATATATATCATCATCACCAGATTCCAAAGTAACTTCAAGGGTTAAAACGCCAGTCCTAGGAAAAGTCACAAACTCCTTCAAACTCCTCACAACAATACCAGGAATAACCTGACAAAAAACATCAAGCTATCAGAAACAGAACAAAAATTAAAAACTATAAATAGAAGAGATAATAAAAATAAATAAATAAACAGAAACAAAGAAAAAACAGTGGAAAAAATCTGACCATATGATGACCATTAACATTCATGGAATCAATCCTGTGAACAAAAGGACAACACGGTATGTAGACATCATCAAAGAGTTGACACCTCATGAAATACATCTGCTGATAATTAAGAAAAACACCACGGGTGTAATAACAACTCCCAACAAGTTTCATCTCGGAGTCGCTCAAACCATCAAGAGCTACAAAATATAATTACATAGGCTCAAGGGAACAGGAAAATCACCATGTGCAATAAAACAAGCTAAAAACTTCCTTAAAAATAAACCTTACCAACAGACGGTAAAGGAGACAACGCATCTCCACGACCAACACGATAAAAATCACCAATCCATGTTCCATAGTGTTCACGCCTAATGGTCATTATATCACGAGGACGAACATCATAATCACTGACCAATCGTTCCCAGGAAGGACCATGGAATTTGCTCCTCAACCGACCATGACTAAACAGAACACCATACAAATAACCCTCATTTTACTGAAAAGCAAGATCAGTATATTCGTCACCCCTCCTTATGGCTAAAGCCCTACACTCCTCGATGTAACGAGCAAGATGAGCTCTAACACTGCACGGAACATACTGCACAACAAATCAAAACAAGGATCATAATCAAAACCTAAACAACATGAGCAGCACCAAAAGAAATAAACGTGTGTGCCAAAAATTAAACAATTATAAAATGATATTCTTACAACACGCCTCCAACAACGCCGATCCAGGACTACACTGAACCCATCTACAGAAGAATCAACAGAAGAACACGGGCCACCAGGCATACGGCAAAAAGGACAAGCCATAACTGCAAGAAACACAATGATTATCAAGTACTAATCCCACAAAACTCAGTTGAAACTTGACATCTGATAGTGTTGGTAGTCCCTACCCGTAACTACCCCATAAATCTCCATATCCCGGAAATATAATGGGAACAAAAAGAGAAACGAGAAAGGGAAACAGGGAACCCACGAAGGCAACCGGTAGGGAACGACGATCACGCGAACGGGGAAGCGCGGTCGACGCTAAAGAAGGACCGCCGTAAAAGCAGGCAACAAGCGCGGCGGCCGGGACAGGGGCCGCCGTAACCACGCGACAAGAGCGGCGGCCGTGACGGACGGAGACGATGGCAAAGAAAGAACAGTGCTCCACGACGGTTCGCCCACACCAGAGAGAAAACAGATCTCAAAACAGATAAACATGTTTTACAAAACATTAAAAGTATAAGGACTAAAGTGAAAAAAGGAAAAACCAGAAAGGAAAACCGGAAACCGAAAAACACGAGAGACGCCGTATGCGCGACAAGTGTCACGCGCGGAGCGCCTCGGAAAAGTCTTCCGACCGCTCCGCGCATGACACTTACGCGCAGGAAGCGCTCCTCGACTAATCGAGGCGAGGAGCACTCCTCAATTAGTGATTTCGGGCCAACGCACACGGGCGTCCAATAGGATTCGCCCACAAACATAGCGGTGAACCCGGCAAAGTCGCTTCAGCCCACGTGAGGGTGGATGGGCCGCCTCCATGTCGCCCGGTCAGATCTGCCGTCGCCCGCCGGGCGCCGGCCTTCGGCCTTCCCACCACTCGCGCACCCAAATCAAAGCCCCTCCTCGTATCCTATACGCGCGAGGCCGGGGAACCCCACACCTGAAGTCCAAGTCCAGGCGAGTTTGCTAGCTTGTCTCGACGGTCGCCGTCCTAGATCTGCACCCGTCAGGCGGCGACCTTTCCTCCTCCGTTGCTGCCCTCGCCCTGGTCCACTCCGGCGGCCCCTTCGCCCTCTTTAAACCCTAGCGCCTCAATCACCTCTTCACTCCACCGTCCACGGAACCCAGGCCCTAGTGCGACTTCGCCATGGCCGCAGCACTCCTCCTCCTGCTCCTCCTCCTGGTGCCGCCCGTCGGCCTCCTCGCCGCGCTCGCCTTCCTGACCCGGCCCCGGGCCGCGCGAATCCCGCTCAAGGGCCGCCACGTCTTCATCACCGGCGGGTCCAGCGGCATCGGGCTCGCCCTCGCCACGGCCGCCGCGCGGGAGGGCGCGCGGGTCTCCATCCTCGCGCGCAACGCCGCCCGCCTCGAGGACGCGCGCGCCGCCATCAGGCTTGCCACGGGACAGGACGTCGGGGTCCACCAGGCCGACGTGCGGGATGCCGCCGCCGTGGCAAGTGCACTCGACGCGGCCGGGCCGGTCGACGTGCTCGTCTGCAACCACGGCGTGTTCGTGGCGCAGGAGCTGGAGAAGCAGGACATGGAGGAGGTCAAGTGGATGGTGGACATCAACCTCATGGGGACCTTCCACCTCATCAAGGCCGCGCTCCCTGCCATGAAGGCACGCACCCGCGAGACCAGTCTCCCGGCGTCCATTGCCATCATGTCATCGCAGGCTGGTCAGGTATACAGTATACAGGGTTCTTTCGCTGCTTTGCCAACAATGCAGCTAAAGTGTTTGATGTAATGTCTCATGATGGGAGATAAAGCTCAATTGATATCTTTGCTGTAGGTTGGTGTTTATGGGTATACTGCTTACTCCGCGAGCAAGTTCGCACTAACTGGACTTGCAGAGTCGCTGCAGCATGAGGTCGTTTCGGACGATATTCACGTGTCGCTGATCTTCCCTCCTGACACAGAGACACCGGGTCTTGTCGAGGGTATGCATTGATAATATATGTTTTAAATTTGAAGTGATTGCTGAATTATCTAACTAACTTATGTGGCAATCTTCTTTCCTGTTGAATTTCTCACATGATACAAAAATTATTAGATGATTTACATATCTGAAGATTGTGACACGAAAAACTATTGAGTACTTGGTGTAGTTGAGACGCTTTTTAGATTCTCAAAATTTCAAGCTTATGTAATGGTGAAAATGTAATGCAAACAGTTTACTTGAAGGATCATAAGACCAGCACAACCGAAACCATTTGATTAGTTATGCCTACCAGTAAATTTGCATTGACAAAGTGATGAACTGATCTTATGTAGATATAATTTCACTTCTAGTTAAATAGCCTTATTTGATTCTTGCAAGCTGCACTGTCCTGACGGAAGAATGAAAAAAAAATCTAGTTCTGATTTTTGTTATGATTTTTAAGACCATGTACATTTCATTTTTCTAGAATATGCACAAGCATGCATATCACATATTGATAGGAGAAAATGGGTGGGAGAACCCTCCACAGTAGTTCTTAACAGCCCCAGTTCTGGAGCTACTCTTATTTTGTGGCATTTCATTCTGGATAGTGGACCAGCTATGCACATTAGTGTCGTACTCCCTCTATTCAGAAATAAGTTGCGTGGTTTTAGTTCAAAGTTCAAATTTGAACTATAACCATGCCACTTATGTCCGAACGGAGGGAATATTCAGTTCAACATTCATTTCACACTTTACTCTCAAAAATAAAAATAAAAACAGTACATATTCATACAGTGAAACTGAAGCATGACGTGTACTTGGCTGTTTTCTTATTGGTTGCAGAGAAGAAAAAGAGGCCAGAGCTTACCACTATCATAGCAGATTCATCTGGTGGAATGAAGGCTGATGATGTTGCTATGAAGGCTCTAACCGGCATCAAATCTGGGAGGTTTATTATCCCCTGCAATTTCGAGGGAGCAATGTTAGCTATAGCCACTTCTGGTCTAACCCCCCAGAGTTCCCCGTTAATTGCATTCGTGGAGGTGATCGGTGCTGGACTGATGCGATTTGTAGCACTATGTTTCCAGTGGAATTGGTTCTCTACTATTGAGAACTGGTGCGCCAAGAACAAGAAACATGGGTGAAAGCCCAACCCTGGGATTCCCAGATTTTCAAGGGCTTACAATTTATATACAACCAATAATGTACCTTGTTATCCCTGGACTGAATGTATATCCCACTTGTACTTTGGGATACAATGTATATCTGGGTTATTGTTTTTGACCAGTTATACTTAGCACGTTGTACACTTGTACTGGACAGACAGTTAAAAATTCCCTTTTGCCTGTGTTTTAATCTTTCTGTTATTGCTTGAAGTAATATAGGAACAGTATATGTACTAGGTAGAGGAACAAATATGGTTGAGGCGTTTTGGCTCCCGGGCTCAAATGAGCCCGGGAGTGAGCAAAAAAATTGTGAAAAACATGAAATAAAATTTTAAAAAACCGTTTTTTTGTGTGTGGAGAAAGATGACTGAGTGCCTGATGTATGTGCCAGATTTCAGAGCATTTGGATATGTAAGTTGCTTTATTTTTTGAGAGCTACCTGGATGCCCAAATGCTTTGAAATTTGGCACGCACCTAATGCACTCAAACGTCTTACATAAAACAGAATTCAGATTATTTTTTTAGTTTTTCTAGTATTTTTTAGAATTTACTGTTCACCGGGTGCAATTCGTACAAATATATATTGCTACCTCTGTTCCTAAATATAAGACATTTTGGCAGTCTTATATTTACTTCGCGTCCGGCTCCTCTCCGCTCCCTCCACTCCGGTCCGGAGCGGACCAGGCTCTAGCTCATTTTCACAGACGTTTTGGCAGTGAGCTCCACAACTCCGTGGAGTCAGAGCAGAGATGAGGGATTCCGAACAAGGCCTTAGGAATGGAGGTGGTAGTACTATATATCAGTGCCAATTTTCTGGTGCCATTTCTAAATGAAAAATGTATCCACAGATGTTATTTAGAAATGGAGGTAGTAGTACTATGTATCAGTGCCAACTTTCTGGTGCCATTTCTAAATGAAAAATTGCATCCACATCGATGGTCTTCGGGGCATGGAGGTGAGGAGCACCTCGGCCCCTGTCGGCGGGAGGGACCATGTTCTTATTTTTGTTAGATTCATTGTGTTGGTTGGGCTGTGTGACGGCGGCGGCGTCGTTCAGTAGAAATAATGTCTCTCACGTTTTATTCCCGTCCAGATGGTGCGTCTAGCTTTGTCGGAGGGCATGTGGGATTCGTTCAGGGCTGGTCTTTGGTGGACCCTTTTGGATCTGGTCTTCGTTCGTCTTTCTTTGGGTTTTACAGGTTTGATCCTTCTGATCTACGACTTCTTTCATCGGCGATGGTTGCTGCTTCGGTGCGCTGGTCCTATGGGGTCTTAGCACGACGACTTTCTGATTGTCTACTACAACAAAGTTTGTTCGGCTTCGACGAGGGATGGGTGATGACGGCGGTGCACTTTTAGCTCGCTCCAGTGCTTCTTCTAGACTCTAGTCGTCGCTAGGTGGTCCACGGAGCTAGTTGTACTTTTTATTATGTCTGGCTTTTTTGTGCTGGCATGATTGAAGTTGAATAGATTGGAAGTTTCTAAAAAAATGCATCTACACAGTTTCGTGTGTTTGATGAGGCAAAATCCATGATATCTGAAGCTTCGTAAACAGCAGAAGCTTTGCCGTGGATCGTCGAAATAAAGATCGACGGAGGAGATCACTTGGACTGCCCTGGAAGGTCACGGAGGGGGTCCCAGTCCTCGCCCCGCTCCCCCCAAAATCCCAATCCAGGCTCCTCGGAGATGTACACGGCAATCCGCGGAGACGATGAGGCAGGCCGAGTGAGATAGAAGCAGCACAGCTTCCGCTTCCGGTCCTCGCCATCGATTCGCTCATGGCCTCCACCTCCTACTGCGCCACTCCATCTCCGTCCCTACGATGCTCTGCCGCCTTCTTCCCCACCTTCGCCTCTCCGCCTCCCGCCCTCCGCTTCGCCGTCCCTCCGCTCCTCCCCCGCCGTCTCGCCATATCCCCACCGAGAGTTCGAATTCCGGCGGTGGCGTCAGCGCTGGAGTCCCTAGTGCAGGAGTCCGATGACGAGGACGAGGAGGACGACGGGTCTGGGCTGTTCAAGGCCGAGGCGTGGGCGTCGGCGGACGAGAGGGACGCGGTGCGGTCCCCGGAGCTGGTGGTGCCCGAGCTGGAGGAGCTGCCCGAGCAGTGGCGCCGCTCCAGGATTGCCTGGCTCTGCAAGGAGCTCCCCGCCTACAAGCACTCCACCTTCACCCGCATCCTCAACGCCCAGCGCAAGTGGCTCACCCAGGAGGACGCCACCTACGTCGCCGTACACTGCCTCCGCATCCGCGACAACGACGCCGCCTTCCGGGTCAGTACCCTCGCAGGCTCACCACACGCCCACCTCCCTCCCAATAACATGTTCGACTAGTGATCTCTGTAGACGTATGTTCATTTGGTTTCTTCCTGCTCATGAACTGTTCGACGAATTGCCATAGCTGATGGATCATAGATGTACTCGTTGGTTGTTTTCAGGTGTTTAGCTGGATGGAGCGGCAGCACTGGTACCGCTTCAACTTTGCGCTTGCCACAAGGGTGGCGGATTTTCTCGGCAGGGAAGGCAAGGTTGAGAAATGCCGGGAGATGTTTGAGGCAATGGTCAAGCAGGGCCGTGTGCCTGCCGAGTCCACCTTCCACATACTGACCGTTGCGTACCTCAGTACGCCCAGGGGACGGTGCCTCGAGCACGCTTGCACTATCTACAACCAGATGATACAGATGGGCGGCTACAAGCCTCGCCTCAGCCTTCACAACTCATTGTTCCGCGCACTTGTGAGTAAGACAGGAGGAACTGCAAAGCACAACCTCAGGCAGGCTGAGTTTGTCTACCACAATCTTGTCACCACCAATCTTGAGGTGCACAAGGAGGTCTATGCTGGGCTCATCTGGCTTCACAGCTACCAAGATGTCATTGATAGAGACAGGATCATAGCTCTTAGGAAGGAAATGAAGCAGGCTGGTTTTGATGAGAGTATTGATGTGCTGGTGTCAGTCATGCGGGCCTTCTCCAAAGAAGGGAGGGTTCAAGAAACAGAGGCAACATGGCATGAAATTCTCCAGAGGGGTTCAGAACTTCCTGCTCAGGCCTATGTCTGCCGAATGGAGGTTTATGCTCGAACTGGTGAGCCTATGAAATCCCTGGATATATTCAGAGAAATGAAGAGGCAAAGTATACCCCCAAACGTTGCAACTTATCATAAGATAATTGAGATAATGGCAAATGCTGAGGAGATAGATGTTGCGGAACAACTTATGGATGAATTTTCTGAGAGTCATATGAAGCATCTGATGCCAGCATTTCTTGCCCTGATGTACATGTATTTGGATCTTGATATGCATGAGAAATTAGAATTAACATTCTCGAAATGCCTTGCTAGGTGCCGTCCAAATAGAATCTTGTACATCATCTATCTAGAATCACTGATAAGGGCTGGAAATGTCGAGAAAGCTGAGGAGGTCTTCGATGAAATGCACAAAAAAGGGACGATAGGTACTAATGCAAAATCTTGCAACATCATGCTAAGAGGTTATATTTCTGCAGAAGACTATCAGAAAGCTGAAAAGGTTTATGATATGATGTGTAAAAAGAAGTATGATGTACAAGAGGATTTGTTGGAAGAACTTCAGACTGGCCTCCGTCTTGGTAAGAAAGTCGCTGTTAAGCCAAAACCCGTGAGCATCAAATTGGATCAAGAGCAGCGTGAGATTTTGATTGGTTTGCTTCTGGGAGGCACACAGATTGAATCTCATGCACAGAGAGGGGTCCATATTGTCCATTTTAAGTTCCAGGAAGATTCTGATGCCCATTCGGTCTTAAGGGTGCACATTCATGAGCGTTTCTTTGAATGGCTGACTTCAGCAAGCAGATCATTTGAGGATGAGAGCAAGATACCTTATGAGTTCTCAACCATACCTCATTTACATTTCGGTTTCTTTGCTGACCAGTTCTTTCTAAAAGGCCAGCCTGTTCTCCCAAAGCTTATCCACAGGTGGTTATCTCCACGTGTTCTAGCGTATTGGTTCATGTTTGGAGGCCTCAAACTCTCGTCAGGTGATATCGTTCTCAAGGTCAGTGGTGGGAACAGTGAGGGTGTTGAAAGAATTGTAAACTCCTTGCATGCACAGTCCTTACCTAGTAAAGTGAAGAGGAAAGGGCAATTCTTCTGGATAGGTTTTCAGGGGAGCAATGCCGATTCTTTCTGGAAAGTTATAGAACCTTATGTATTGGACGGTTTCTTGGGTTTGACAACACAGGAAAGCGGCACCGCAGGTTCTGGTGATGACCAAGAAACTGATACTGATTCTGATGATGATGCTCATAAGTATGGAAGTGAAGAGTGAATACCAGGGAGCAGGAGATGTCTGGTGACAGGAGGTACTTCATCAACGTCAAGTTCTTGCTGCGAACAGATGTGCTATATTTTAGTGGTTTGGTGGTAGAGCTTGAAAAGTCTCCAAGTGGCGGTTTTCGCTTGTAAAGGTTATTTTCTGCCAAACTTGCTCACCCTTTATGGCGATGGCCTGTGACCGCTGTGAACTGACATCAATTTTTTTGATTTTTTTTTTCACAGTGGAAAAGTGAACCGGGGCTCTGCCCTTATAGCCTGCAACGTAGACTGAAGACAATATTCAGGAAGTAGTTCATTACAATCTGAACATCGGAAGGAACACAACTTCACAAGCCTACAGATTGATCAGGGTTTTGTTACGTATACTTTTACTTTGTTGTTCACCTTCTTAGTACAGTAAGTACTAACAACATGTTGCCCGTATTGATCTACCCCCTCCGTAAAAAGTAGTGATCTAAACACTCTTATATTTCTTTACAGAGGGAGTACCTATGTAGCCATCTGCATGATAGATTTGCACACTAGACTAGACAGAAAATTTGTGGATTTCTGTCGACCACTTACAGTACGTTATATGTTGTGCATTTAATCACCTGTTCTCATTTGCCAAATCTTTTTTTTATTTCTTTGTGAAATTTTCATGGATTGTCGCTAATGGCAGTACATAATAAGCTGTAAAAACATATATTTGTCCCATGATGTCTGGCAGCAAAAAAAAACATTTACCCTTCCAGAAAGAAACTCAGCATGGCATTTGGCAGCATCTTAGCTAGTGATTACATTACATGTGTATGCAACTGAGATTTATAGACTACTAAAGAGGCTTAACATTCCTACGGATTAATCTATGATCAGGTGACGACAAAGCAAACAAAGAATTTCTACTGATCCACCGCCATAACCTACGCTACCAGTGAAACATTTTTTGTTGATCATCAGGCACGCGTCGTGGAGCCACGTGTCCCTCCCTAAAAGTCATCGCGCGAGAGTTTGTTGAGCAGGCTGGTGAGGAGCGCGTCCCTCCGCTCGGCCCTGGCCTCCTCCCTCATCCTCCTCTGCTCCTCGCGCTCCCGCCACGCCTGCTCCAGCATCAGCCGCTCCCGCTCCAGCCTCTGCATCTCCTGCCGCCACTGCTGCTCCAAGGCCAGCCGCTCCTGCGCGTGCCGCGCCGCCGCCTCCTGCCGCTGCGCGTCCAGCCGCTGCTGCTGCTCCAGGAAGTCCTGCAGCACGGCGCGGACGGAGGACGCCGACGCCGCGCCGGCCGCGGCGCTGCCGCTCGGTCTCGTCTTCTGCTGCGCGTCCTTCATCTTCCTCCTGGTTCCCGGGGGCAGGTCGTCGTCGTCGCCGCCGGCGGTCTCCTCGGACTCGGTCGCGGGTCTCTTGAGCCTCCTCTCCTCGGCGGGGTTCCGTCCCGGCCCTTCGTCAGACCCGAAGCGCTGCCGTTGCATGCTCCCGCCGCGCACCGTGGAAGACTGCGTGATGTGATTGTGATTGTGCTCGCTCGTGCTCTCGCCGGCCTGCCGCACGCAGCGTTCGTTCACCATCGGCCGTTGCAGAGGCTGCGGGTTGATAAAGGGTGCGCCTACGCGGCTACGCGTGTTGGTGCTGGTGGGTGTGGAAGGGGTCGCCAGGGCCAGCTTTTGCATGCAGCAGCCGTTGGTCTCCTTCGCGCTCGTGTTCTCTTTTGCGACGCCTCTCGAACTCCCTCGCCGGTTCACACCCGCCGGCTGGTGAGAACGGCTTTGCCCCCGTCCACACTGGCGACGCCACGTCATGCCCTGCGAACGGATGCCTCATGCCTTTTCAGGTGCTGCTCGTATCGCTGTCCGTTTGACCGGTTTCTCCCTGGATAGCGATGACGTGCACGCACGCGCGAGCGCGACGCTGTGCCCGCGGCCTCCGGCAGCGCCGCTGTCAGCCTGACGTGCCGTGTCGAAGGAAAAAAATAAGACAAGACTTGCTCGCGGTCGCAGGATAATGTTGACATACATTCTCATGCTGCCATTGGTCGCCTTAGGATTTGTTTGATTGATTGATTTTCTGCCGTCGGTGGTCAATCACATTCTCAAGGGCACCGCGCGCCGGAATGCGCTCTGGGATTTGCAGCCCACGCTTTTTTGAGCACGCTGGTTTCATTCGCGTGCTGATCTCCTGTTCGGGACGGCGGCGGGGCTAGGAGCAACTCTATGAGATCATGTAAAACAACCCGTCAGCCATAATAATCGTCGATATAGCACACGAGAACGAATTTTCTGTCCAGAACATATCCGTATATTTGACCAGCCGTTACTTTTTTGGAAAACGTTTAGGCCCGGTGCACCGGCCGAAGCATTGGCCGGTCGCGTCCACATGCTCACGCTTCTAGCGAAGCAACTTGCGACATGTAGGATGCGAGCCCCCATCTACGCTGCCTCTCTCCTATTTCTTCCACCTCCCGCATCTCTGCTCTCCAGCGCGCCTGCGCCTATTCCGCTTCTTCCCATGCCCCCTCTTTGCTGATCCTCGCTGCTCCCTAGTGCGCTCGCGGCTATTTCGCTCCACCCCTCTGCTGATCCCCTCACGTGTTGCTCATGCCGGAGACCATGAACAACGACGAGGAAGGCACCGCGGCGTACTTTCGTCCATGTCCTCGTTTCCTCTCATGCGGTCAAGTGCTGCGACCGGCTAGACCCGGAGCTGCAACCACGCCCGATTTTTGCTAGAACCGGTGACCGCGGCGAAGTGTCGGGTCACGGCGGCAATTTTGATTGGTGGACCGGGGGTGTTGCAACCGCGACATGTTTTGCTGGAACCAGCACCCAAAAATGCTACTACTGGAGTTTGTCCTACTGGACCAGCGACACCTGTTGTAACACCCCAGATGTAAAACTTCCATATTTGCCAATATATCCATGTTGATCTCCATCCAATTTCATTTGGGGTTCCATCTTCCGGGCTCTTTGTTTTGTTATGTTGTTCTACTCATTGCATTGCCATGCTTACCTTGTCATATTGCATTTGTGCTTGTGTCTGTTTGCATTCTCATAATCATCATGTGCATTGTCATATTCATGCATGTTGTATTGTTGCATGCTCCATGTGTGGTTCTTGCACCATCACTCCTCCTTCCTTCCCTTTCTTCCATTTCTGCAAGTGCCATTTTTCCTTCTCTTTTGATGTTCATCTTTCCCCAATATTCTAACACCATGTACCTAGCCTTCTGTCAAATTTCATCTCAATTGGAATTGTGTTGGCCAAACCAATTTTGTTAAATAGAGCACATTTTCAGGATCATGAGAATATTTTTATATTTCTATAGCTCCTCTCCTTTTTCCCCTGCTCTTTCCTTTTTGTATTTCTGTTTGAAGAAATGGAAAAAAAGAAAGCAGCAGCAGTAGACCCCAGCCCAGCCCCCGCAAGCCACTAGTCCAGGCCGGCCCACCAAACCCCAGAGGCCCAGCCGGCAACCTCAAGGCCTCAACCCTAGGCCGAAACCCCCATCTCCCCAAACCCTTGTCCTCTCCCTCGTTCCCTTACGCCGCCTCTCCCTTCTGCTCGATCTCTTCCTCACCTTCTCCCCTCATGCCGCCAGAGGAGCCCCTCTCCTCGCCCTTCCCCGCTCGTCCTCCAGGCAGCCAACTCCGGCGGCCCCATCGCCCGTTCCTCCCTCCTCTCGCTCGCCTACACCACCCCGACCATGCCCGGCCTCCCCGCTCGCCTCCTCTCGTTTGGATCGAGAAGGAGCTCTTCCCGAGCGGAGCGCTCGCTTCAGCCGTCGACCGCGAGCCGCAGGTCACCGGAGCAGCTCCAGGCAGCAACCACGCACGCTGTGGACCCCCCTCTACCGCGCCGTGCTCCTTCCCCGAGCTCCACCTCGCCGTCCTTCTACACATCGTCGCCGGCCCCATCTCCACCTCGCCGGACCGCCCCAACCCCGTCGTCATCCATGTGACCTTGCAGGAGGCAGCCACCGCGCCTGCTTTGCCTCTGAGCCCGCCTTGCACCGAGCTCCACCACCGTTCGATCTCCACCTCGCCATGGACGGGGCTGTCCCCAGTAGCAGGCTATCTTCCTCACCTCCTATGTCGCCTGCCTTGGTCGGTTGGTTGCCACACGCTGCTGCCTCCAAGCACCATCTATGCATCTCTGTGGTTAGCGCCTTCGTCGAATCCTCAGGGGTCACCTTCAGTAAGTGGTACCCGAAGTGCAACGATGACCGGTGAAGACCCCTGCCCCCTGTACCATCCTGTTGCTGTCGCTGGAGACCGAGTATCCATCGTCGCGTTCCGTTTCTTCTATGTCAAGCCCAAGAGGGCGCCAAGATACCAAGTACCACGACGTCGACGACCCTCAAGTTGAACTACATCGACTATGAACGGTGACCACCCGGAACATCTACGGAGAGTGTACGACTACAAACCGTGTACGACTACCATCGCCAAAGACCGTCGAGTGAATAAATACCATCACGTGGGTTCGACAAGACGCCGAGTACCACGACACTACTCTCGACCCCCGGAGGACTCGGACCCGTCAAGTTCCCTTTGGATGCGCCAAGTTCCACGGCGTCGCATAAGTTTCTTCGTGAACCTGTTCGACCACTCGGATTCGCAAGTACCACAGCGTCCGGAGTCCTCGGATGCGTCAAGTCCCTCTCCGACCGTGTACCACTACCCTCGCGAGAACGACTACATCTCGCGACGAACCATGAACAACTACCATCGAATCCGAACCGTCTCGAACGCACGCTTCGAAGGTATAACCCCGAGATGACGTCTGTGAACGAATGCATGAGTTGTATGAGATGCATGTTTGGATGTTGTATCCGCCTGTGAACGTTAGTTGTTCCTTCTCGTTGCCACGCCGTCAATCCGTGGGAACCCGGTAACCGGGATCACCCCACCATCTTTGCACGCTCCCGCCACACTTCCTTTGCACCGGTATCTCCATGTGCTACCGGAACCGATATGTTACCATGGCATCATTTTCGGATTCGTTGTCATGGCACCCCTT